GAATGGCACTGCCCCCTTGTATGACGGATTGACTAATGCAGGGTTGTGGTGACTGTGACACCCCACCTCACAAACAACTGGGACCATCATCCGGGCACGCCTTTGCCACGGATGGGTATGTATCTTTTTCATTGTGGGCCCTTTGATGGACATCATGAACCCAGGGATGTATTTTCAACAATCGATTTCCATTGAGTTCCCTATCGAAATCCATAGCCACATATGCGGTGTGAGAACCCAGCGGGGTAGCGAATCGAAAACCGAGAGCGAGGAAGGGAAGTGCTGCACATGAAGCACCCAAGCAACAGGACTGTGAAAGAAACCAGCTAATGTTAACCCGGACGAATCAACCTGACGGATTTATCCGTTCTTGTTTTGCCACCTAGAGCGAAGGATTCCCCGCTTAAATGGAACACCCGCCTTTCAATCAACCAGGAGTTGAGTACTCCTGGGTTCCCATAGGACATTCTGCAGGAAATTAGCCCAACCGCTTTTTGGTGGGTCTTTGGCTAACTTTCAGAATGTTCCGCTGGCTTCCGGTGCCCATTCCTTTTGCTGAAGCCTTCAGCACGTTACTTTCCAATGTGATATTTCAGCATACATGACTCCAACCAGGGCTGCGAGAGTTTTAGGATTTTTAGGAGGTAACAAGGAATCTAAGCAGCAAATCCACTGCTGTTTTAAAAAAGGCATGTGCTGAGGAAAGTATACATCTCATCAGAAATCTGAAAACAAACACATAAGTGTCCTGCAAAGGGGATCGCCCCGGCTTCTGTAAGAAGCCTCTACAATGGCCCGACAGTTTGTTGTGGGATTGATGGCCGCCCAAAGTAAACACTTGATGCCTTCTGATCATGGCACACGTTAACACGAAATGCTCGGCTAGCATGGAGAAATTATCCAACGTAATCAGATGCTACACCGGCTCCTTGGAAAAGCATTGTACTGAAAGTTTCTGCAAGCCATCTTCCTGCTGGACGCCAAGGTGACTTGAATACGCAAGGGGGGGAGCAACATGAAACTAGATCTGGACAGCCTCGAGCTCGTGTTGACGCTTTACTCACTTTGCCCAACCGTCCTGTAGGCACATAATGCGCTGATATTGCTTCTCGCTTGCAACTTTCAGCGCTCGCACCGTCACGTCTTCCAGCTCTTTACCTGAAGCAACTCGTCCCATGCCAACCATTGGGCATTCAGCAAAACGTATATGGCACAAATGAGGGATATTGATGTTCCTCACAAGCATCGCTGACATCCGCATTGAATGAAGATCCTGGAACTCCTGTCTTGAATTGTCAGCCTGCAAATGGTATTCGGGCCTCGAGATTCCTGAATTGATGCAAGACATTGACAACGGCGTCACGAGCCAAGCCGGGCAGCCTAAACGGTCCATGTGTTGAATCCGCAATCTACCTTAGCGCCTCATGGCCAAGGCCCAAGGAGTCAGGCTTCAAACAGCGGCAAGCAGCAAAAAACACAGGGCTGTGCGCCAGGCGTATTCTTGTTCTTTGTGAACGGGGCCAAAAAACTCTGCGGCATCCAGCAAATACCAAAGCAAATGAATATGCAACATGCCCAGCATCTTGCTGTGGAGTGACACGCGCAAAGCCAAGCGAATTGCTTGAGTTGTTCGTCGCAATTGCTTGGGAATGGATCTACAAAGCATTTGACCTGCAACATACAGAAAGGAACTAGATGAAACCCAGCATGTTGCTGATCAAAGACAATCATTGCGAACATGGCCAGCAAACAATCAGGCGAACCGTCAAGTGTGCTCATTGTCCACAGTTTGAGGCTCTGGTGGTCCTTTTCTTTTATGCAAAGAACTATATACACTGACTCTGCTGTGGCGAGCATTCGTGGAATGGAAGCAACAGTTTAGAAGAAAACAGAGCGCACACTCAAAGGCCACTGTCCATTCCTTCAAGGCATGCATCAAGGCCCCATTGTAGTGGATCTTAGCGGGGTTGCATGGCCATGAACAGGTTGCTCTTGATTTGGGCAGTTACCAGCTGGCCAAGTGAATTTGGCAAAGCAGGATAACTGCTGGATCCTAAGCCCAACAAATCAGAAGCTATTCAAAATTAAAAACAAAACCTCCGCTGTCCGGCTGAGGAATGCAGCATCTCCTTGTGTGAGTATTCTGGGAAATCTGTCGAATGGGCCCTTGTCAATGGGCCATCGATTCTCTGGACTTGCATGAGAGATGTATGCTTTCCTTTGGCTTTGCTGTGATTAATAGCTGAGAGTCCGTTTCAAGGGGAGATTCAACTCCCCACACAAGCATGCAAGGTGCTGAGTCCTGATCAAATTTCACAAAAGCCGTGTAAATCTCGGTGCGATGCCACCAGACAACACAAACTGACCTCCCCGCAGATCAACACAGTATCCCCCCAAACCAGTACTCCGATCATTTGTAGAGTACTCCGAGCATTTCTTGGCCCAGCTGCGCGGGGCCAGGGCAAAGGCGCGGCACAGGATCAGGAGCTCCCCCGGCTGTGCTGCCGCCGCAAGTACCAGGCCCCGGCCTCTGCCCGGGATGTCCTGAAGAGGTACGGCGCCGAAGACTCGCCGAAGGGAGCGACGGGGGATTCAACCGGGGCTCTGGAAATATGTGTTTCGAACTTGTAGATCCAGACCCCCTGTTTAGTTTCCCTTTGGGCAAATCAAGTTGCTCCCAAACACGGGTAGAACTTTGGCCAGAAAGGAAGCCAAATTAATTTGCTACACTTGAGGGTCTTTGATAAAAAGGCTTCCAGCAAACCTGACAAGCGTCACCTTGAGGCTATGAGGCCCGTTCAAACTCCCACGCATTGATTTTGGAATGGTCTCGACCCGAACCTTTTGTGGGGAGGCCGTTTTTGTTTCCCTGGTGTGTTCTTCCTTTTAGACAGTGAGCAGGTTCCCTGTTGATGTAAGTAAAAACCAATGCATATTATGTTGGTAATATTGTAAAACTTGCTATATTCGACTCAACCGTACACCAAATCCAGTCTGCCTGCTACATCCACCTGGTTGCATCTCCTTTCAAGGAAAGCTCTCTGGTGCGTGCAGTTCAGGTCAAATGATGTTTCAAATTTAAGGAGACCATGCCTCGCGCCCCTTTGACTTCCTGGTGAACATCCCCGGTGGTGTGGTTCCTCGCTTCGAAGCAGGACTTAGCTGGTTGCAATCCAACCACCCCAACAACAGAGGACTCCCCATGGGCAAGCCCACACCCCTTGGCCAAAGTTTTGAAGAGAGCAAACATCCCAAAACCACAGGAGGAGATCGATTGACTTATCAACATGGAGTGACATGACTTTCCTGCTAACCAGAATGCCTTTTTGAAGGTATCCTGAGCTTGTCAAGCCCCCAGTCCTTGATTTGGATGCGGGCATCGCAGCTGGGAGTCAGCTTTGGGCAACTGGGGCTGCTTGGAACGTTCGGGGCAGCTGCCAGCCATTGCTGCTCAAGGCCGAAAAGCGCCGCCAGGGCGTCGGTCATCAAAGTAAATCCCTTAAGGGGACATAGGGGCTGAAGGGAACCACCTACTTTGTGTTCAAGCAGTTGTTTCTTTAAAAAAAAACAAGTGCATTTGTTCAAGCAACAAAACTGTCAGAAGGCCTGACAGACTACTTCTGATTCAGCGGAATAATTCTCGGGTGGCTTTCTGGGCTGAGTTAGGGGCAATGAAGGTCTGTTTCGCCATCGCGAACTGCGTGACTCTGCGCTGCCTCACCTCCACCAACTGCAGCTTGTTGGGATCACCAACAAAAGCTGGGTTCCTCACTACTGGAACATTTGAGAAGGCAACAAAAACACAACCGTACCCGCTAAGGGCACTGTGGAAACTGGAAGCATCAGAGTAAAATTCCAAACCAGCCTTGGTTCCCCGTTGGATCATCACCCCTCAGAAGATAGAACAGCTTCAAGTTGGCGAACAAGGTGATGTTTCAAAATATCAGGACCTCTACTTTGCGAAAACCGGTTGGAAAGAACAAATGGTTTGAACTCAACAATTGAGCGGGGACAGCTCACCTGCTTAGGGGCTAGTGACAAGGTTGTCAGGCTGCCACGGCTGTCTGTCGGTGCGGGCATGTTCCGCATAGTGTGAAGCACTCATCCTTGAGGTATCACGCAACCTATCCGCATCACTTGAAAACTGGCCGCTGGTTGGAAGCGGCTCTCCGAAAGCCAAGGAGCCCAGCGCAAACCCGAGTTAGCCTGCCGCCTAGAACCTGGGGAGGGTTTCAGAATGGACTGTATGTTAGCTTCTCAAGTAGCTTCTGTCAGGCTCGATCTCGTGGGTGTGCGGAGAATATTTGCTCTTGTTCTCAGATCCTGCCTTCCAAAGAGGAGTCCCCTCATGGGCACTACACAAAAAGGGCCATATAACTTGTTCACACTCGGACCCGTAGGAAGCAGCAGCCGCTTTGGCTGTCAAATGCAAATGGTCTGTCCGTTGGACGCTTGGGATTCAAACAGTCGAAGCCGGGGCACGCATTGAGAATTCATTGGAGCTGCCCTAACAATCTGCTGGCATCTTCTAATTGCCCCGTGGTACTGGAGGGAACATAGCACGTATCAGAGATGGACAACAGCTAGCGGAAGTGACAGGGGGAAATGCAGAGTATCTGCGCAGAACGAAGATGTGAAACAGACCTGTGTAGAGCTTGGATTGTGTCAAGTTGCCACTCGCCCATACAGTGCACTCTTGGCACATTGAGCTTGGTTAGAATGTCTAAGCATGCATTCATGATGGTTATATGGTTCAATGCCACGCTATTGATATTGCTCTAGGTATTTTGGCACAAGCCTTATGGGTCTGCCCACAAAATGGTGTTTGTCCGTTTATAGCCCTTTAAACCAACCCTCAAAAGGAATACCCTCAAAATCCCTCAAAAAACACACACACACACACACATACACGCATGCGCCGACATCCGCTTTGTACAATCTTCCTGCACGCAAAAACCGCTCCACTCAACTGACAAGTATGCCACAGCTGGGCATCGCGCAAGGAAGGACTTGGTGATGCCCACCGTGGCCCAGTCGTTCCTGGACCTGACGACATCAGACCCCCCCCCCCCTACCCGCCACCCAGGCGGAGTTTGGTCCCTGTAAGCCCTCTCAAGAGTTTTTGCTTGCCATGGGCAAGCAAAGAAGAACAGGCTGGGAATGTAAGAATACAAACCCTTCTGGATTTGGGCGCTCCGGTTTTGATTGGTCTGTCCGCCCAAGTCATAGAAACTTGACTCCAAGCAGAACGCACCCAAAGCGCCCTTCCCAGACTTTCCAGAAACTGCGCGAGAAGTTGCAACCACTTTTTCTCGCACACGGTGCAAGCCAGTCTGGTCGACCCCAGCCGCCTGCCACCTGGCCAACAGCGCAGCTTGCGACAAGTCTAGGGGTGAATAGTTTGGCACGAGCCTTGCAATGGGAGGCAGAAAATAGGTCGGGGGCGTCGGGGGCGTGCACTGAACAGTTGACACGTTGCCGAGCATGCCGAGCACAAAGAAAGATAGAACTGCAACGAAGACACAAGACACCACTTCCAGCTACACAGCAAGCAAAGAGTGCTATGTCGGTTCCAGTTGAATGAGGGGGCTGCGCTGCAAGGGCAAGCCAAAAACAACAATGAGCATAGGTCGCTGCTTTGCCACAAGCCAAGGAGAGTGTTGCCTACGAAATGGACAATCTGCCAAAGCCCGTGTTCGACCTTCAAGCAGTCATAATGTGGAAACGGTCCCTTTGGCCTGGCCTTTGAAGCAGACTGAAAGGACGACGCGGAAAGGTTATTATAGGGATATGATATCTTGGATGCCTGCCAAGTCTTTGATAAGAGCGCTCTGCAGCGCCCTAACTTTCAGAAACCAACACCTGCGTTAAGACTAGATTCCTACACATAATTATGGCGGCTTAGTATAATTTTGGTAGGCTCTGCCAGAGCGTATGGCCTGATATGCTATTCTCAAACTGACTCAATGAAGACATACTGAGCATGATGTCCTGGCACGAAAGGTGCCTTGGCAAGGCACATCATAAGAACAACAACACTGGAACCGTCATTTCGTTGTAGAAAGAAGTACATCTGTCCTAGAAACACATGCCAGAAAGCAGCCTGTGAGCATTCCTGAAGCTCCCCGTTTCCATCTTGTTAAATCTTGTTGTTGGATTCTGTGGCCATGTTCTGTACATTGACATCTTTCTCAAACCGCTGCAAACGTGGCATTTGCGGCTCATGTTCCGGGACCTGAAATCAATTTGTAAGAGCCAACTTGAGCAGTCCCACGGACCAGAAGCGCATTGGGCGAGACGGTGCACGTCGCGGAATCGGCGACGCAAAGAAGATGCTCCCAACCTAAACAACGCGCTGGTTGGACCAGGCAGACATGTGCTGCATTGATCCCTCACTTTTTGCGTTACACTGGCTGTTCCTAGGCTGAGCCCCACAGACTACCCAAGACTTCAAGATGTGTTTGTTTGATCCAGGCCATACAGGAATGTTGATCCACGTTCATTCAGCTCCGTGCCCCAGAAACTGTTGCGAGTGCATCGATTGATGGCTTCACATCACCCGGCAGCTCGCCTCAAAGCTCCCTGCGCGCTTTCCTCTTCACTCGGCCATCCTCGTCCAGGCTGGGGGCCGTTGCGAGGTCTGGATGCGAAACCTGACAATGGGCCCGAAGCTTGTCCCGTTCTGCTCTGAGGCAGCTGGCTAAAATGTAAGGGGTTCCATTTTTTTGTTGTTTTTTCCGGAATCACGCTTTATGTTGAAATCACTCCTGGGGTCCCTGCGTTTGTTTTTATTGATTTAACGCCTGTGGGCAAGTGATGTTTATTTTGAATGCACGCCTGGGGGCGTGAACTTCAAAGATTAAAAAAAAAACACCGGAGCCCCCAGGCGTGACTTCAAAAGAACGATCACCAAAGCCCACAGGCGTGTGTTCAAAAAAACAATGAAGTGTCCAGGCATGTTTTCAAGGAAGAAACACTGGAGCCCCCAGGTGTAAATTCAAAGAACAAACGGGACCATGGTGTCTTTTTCTTTGGAACCACCAGTCGCTCAGTCCTTGCTCGGTTCACCTGTGCACAACAAAAACACAATTAGAGCCCAAAACGAGAAACAAAATAAATTGGTTGGTGCAAATGCTAGAAACAAAAACACTGGTTCCAAAGTAAAGCCCTTGTCAATTGAGTTTATCACCATGCAACCAATCGCCTGGAGGGGCATGCTTTTATGATGCTTCACAATACATAATGCCTGTGTGTGTGCGTGTGTCTTGTGCGTGTCTGTGTATGTCGGTGCGTGTGTGTGTGTGTCTCTGTGTCTGTGTCTGTGTCTGTGTGTTTCTGCGTGTTCTGTGCCTCTCTGTGTGCGTGTGTCTGTGTGTCTCTCTCTGTGTGTGCCTGTGCGTGAGGCAGACTATCATACTATGTGCATGGATTGAGAGATAACCACGGTTTTTGTATGCCGGGAGACCACCATCAACTGGCAAACGCACGCCCAAGCTTGGTTGGACACGTGTCACGTATTGGCAAATCTCTGCAACTTCCTTGTGGAGGTGCGGATCGCTGTTCATGGTTGTAAGATAAACAATCTCATTTGCTTGTAGGAAGAGGATCAACTAGCATACCGGCTGTTCTCAAAGACCAATCAAATCACACAGTGGTCATGCAAGAACAAACGCGTGTCAATACAAGTTAATGCGCCAGCTTCCCAGTTTGAAGCTATTATCAGGCCGACTCGCTTCCTCGGAATTCCGGATACGTTCCCTCAGTTCTAATGGACAACTGAACCAAAGCCGCTGTGTTGAGCTTAAATCCAGATAGGCTGCTGTCAACAAGCATGGATTCTCAGCATGCGGGCACTTCACAAGCTCACTCTCAGCACATACTGCAATACACCGCTATGCACCAAGGGAAAAACCGAAGCTTGCTTCGGGCCAGCCGCGCCCCTGTCATCTAATGTTACACCTCCTTTAGTAATAGTCCCCTCTCTTGTAGATGTTTTTCTTTTTCAGGATACTATGACTTTTTAGGGGCCCTCTATTGTGGAAACTTTCTTGCCGACAACAACGCTGGAAAATATGGGCCAAAACTTGACAAACAAGTCGGGCAAAAAACGGGCAAACAAATCCTGGCAAACATTGGGAAATCCTTTTCTTGAAGTGGCCCCGAAACCATCAAACTTAAGATAACTTCTTTACACAAAAGTGCAAGCAAACAGTCACACAAAGGGGGGTGCCTACAAGAGGCCCAGATCCTCTTTCATGTGACTGTTTTGGGGTCCTCTTTAGTGTCCAGCTGGTTTCGGGGTTGCTGAAAGCTGAACACCAAAGCCTTTTATTCTTAAAGGGGGGGCTCATCAGAAAGCTCTCCCCAGCTCAAAGGTTAAAGGCCTGAGATCTAGGAAATCCATTTTGCAAGTTGTTCCCAAACCATCAAATTTAAGATAACTTCTTTACAAAAAAGAGCGGGCAAACAGTCACACAAAGGGGGGGGGGGGTCCCCACAAGGTGACTGTTTTGGGGTGCTCTTTAGTGTCCAACTGGTGTCTGGGGGTTGCTGAAAAAACGGTCCTTGGCAATACTAAAGTAGAATTGGCAATACTAAAGTAAGTACTGGGAAGCTGAGAGTCAGCCTTGGCAATACTAAAGTAGAATTGGCAATACTAAAGTAAGTACTGTCCCTCCCAGACCCCCAGGATTTCACTAAAGAGGGTCCAGCTGACTGGTTCCACTGTTGAGGGGGGGAGGGGGCCGTGTAAAAAGGGTCCAACATTGGAATTTGACACTGGCGTTGAGCAATGATCTTCCCGGGGGCTCTGTGGCTTGCTGGTGTCATGACTTCCTTTCAAAGAGGGCGTGTGCTCTGAAAGTCCCAGCTCGCCATGCTTTCGAAGCGCCTTGAGCTCGAGGATCGTGCGGGGCAGATCACTCTCGCTGGTGGAGATGTGATGGGCATAGCTGTCCTCAGGCCATTCATGACAAGCCAGCTGTTTGGCTCCGAAGAATCTTTTGACAGGAGCGAGGGTAGACCCGCACCTTCCACTTTTCACTGCTGCTACATGGCGTGCAGAAGAACGTTTTCACAAGCCTGTGTGTGTTTGCAAAGTAACGACTATCTTTCGTCACTGTTCGCCTGTTCATCCAAACGCAGGTGCATTGCCGAGTTGCCAGTGTTTTTAGTTCCATGAATCATTGATGAATGTGTGGATATCACTGGCAAATTCAGTTGCATTTGCATGTGCCAAAAACTCAGGGACCTCCAATCGGGAAGATATATGTACCCAAGCAAGGGCTGAACATCCAAACGAAGACCATCAGGGACAACGAAATCCATAATGGATGGAATTTCTACATAGTGCAAGCCAACATGAATCGGTAGCAAACTAACTTGCAACTTGGCGCTGGTCAGAGCCTTGTGTTGCCCTCTCATGCTTTTGGAAGAAAAAAAACGGATGGCGGCACGGTTTTAAAAAGAAACATGAAGTGACGTTTGTGAATCTCAAACCTAAAAAGACTTCCTCCACTCAGCAGTGCCGTAAATCTGCCACACTGACACTCAACTTGCTTCCGTAGTGTGTTGATAAATTATTTTGCACCCGGCAATCACGTGCTGCTTATGCACGATGGTCACTCTCTCCATGTCCAATGGACTTTCTTGATGGGGAGCTGCGAATAGCTTTCCCCTGACAAGCCAACTATTCTGCCATTTGGATTTCGCTGCATGACTCGGCTGTCCACGCAACAATGGCGTCTATGAATAGAGCCAATCTTTTTGAAGGGGGTACTGATTCCATGCAAGGATTCGAACACTAATACTGCACGCCAGCATCACTGTCATGCTTAGACAGTCTGAAACAAACAGGAACTGGAAACCGTCAGGATTCTAGGATCTTGATCATGGGCTGACACACATGGAGGAACAAATTTCATGGGCAGGGTCCCGGAACCATTTGCGCCTTTGAAACATATGGGACCCGCAAAGCATTCAAATCAGATACAGTACCACCCCCTTGCCGAACCAACAATTTGCAGAAAGAGAATCATCATCAACAT